ACAGTTTTTCATGTGTTCTTTTCGTATGTCCTTTGATGTTGCGTTGGTTCTCTCCCACGCGAACTACTTTTTCCCACTCCAGCTCATACATCCAATTACGAAAAATACTAAGTAATAATTCATCGATACCGGCCAGCTGTCAATTATATACAAGTGTCTAGGATATGTACACTGACAAAATAACGCAATTTCAGAGAAAACAACGACTAATAAATTATTAATGTGACTGACATAGTGAGTTTAGTACTTTAAATTTTATAACTGTGTCATAAAGTGTGGAATTTGACAATGGCAGAATAATGAACTGTAGAGGGCTCAGTTCTTTTTATTGCTAGTGGGGTGGGACTAAGTCCCTTGTACTGCGGCCACTTCTAGCCTGTTGTACCAGCCCCAGATGATAGGTGAGGGTGATTGTGGAGCAATTGATGGAATGAAGATTGGCAGGGGAAACCGAAGTACTCGGGGAAAACCTGCCCCAGTGCTACTTTGTTCACCACAAATCCCATTTGACCAGACCTGGGATCGAACCCGGACCGCCGCTGTGGGAAGCCAGCGACTAACCGCTTGAGCTATGGCAATCTCAATGAATATGGGTGTGAATGGTAAACTGAAAAAGAGGAATCCTTTTTGTAGCGATGTGGCACGTGAGCGGCCTCTGGTTCAAGAGCCGACCATTTCTTGTGTGATACATAAAGAAAAATGTTACTTTGGGTAGCTGATTTTAGGCTCCTCCGCTTTTTTCCTCATTCACTCTACCATTCAGATCCATTATTGCATTAAATTAAGATTACTCATACCTAACCCACTAAATAATTACCTAACAGATTAAGTAGTTAACCAACTTATGAATTTGTTTTTTTAGGGTTTCTCTTGAAGGAGCCGGGATAGCGCAGTAGATATAGCGACTGGCAACGGGTTTGACAACAGAGAGATCGGAGTTCGAGTCCCGGTAAGGTCAAGAATTTCCACTCCTCCATTTTGTCCAGACCGGTTCTGGGTCCATCCCGCTTCCTACCCAGTGGGTACCAAAGGCACTTTCCCGTGGGTAAAGCGGCCGGGGAATGAGGCTGACCACTAACCCCCAGCTAGTGTCGAGGACAAGAAAATGTGGATCTACACATCCACTCCCCCATACGCGTTCATGGTGTAGTGCTTAGTTAGTTAAGCAAAGGGATAATTTTACCTTACATTACCTTTCTTAAAAATTATGTTTGTAGTTAGCTAGTCAGTAAAGAGCCGGCATAGCTCAGTCGGTATAGCGACGGGCTTCTGTCTGAACGACCGGTGCTCGATTCTCAGCTGGAACAAGAGATTTTTCTTTCCTTCACAACGTCCAGACTGGCACGGGGGCGCTATCAACCTTCTAACAAATGAATGCCGGAGGCAATTTCCCCCTGCGGCAAACCATCAGGGGTGTGAAGCTGACCACTGACCTACATCTATTTGTCGAGTTCAATAAGGGGAAAACTTTTCTTCCACTCCCCCACAAATCTTCATTGCGTTATGCTTAATTAATTAAGCACAGGGACAGGTCTGCCCTTACTTCAGCTAGTCAGTAAATTGAACATTCTTTAGGAACCACAACATTTCAACAAACCACTCTAATTTAAGCCAGTTGAAGACAATCCACACCGTCACATAACATTTATGAAATGCCCTTACTAATATTTTCTTCTATCTACGGCTGACAAACTCACCACCATCTGTGAGCCGATTGTCTAGAAAATTTGGGATCCTCGACGTCTCACAAACCTATAGGCCTCCAAGACTTGTTACAGGGATAACTTTACCCTTTTTTACCTACTTCTTAGACTCCCAGGTGATAATCTTCCCTTGAAATTTTCCGAGTAAAATGTAGAACGGATTTCTTATTCTGTCCTGTCATCTTCTCACTGTTCTGTATTTAATTGTTTTGATAGTAGGCCGGGATCGTAGGTTCGAATCACACTCATGTCATGAAGGTTCGGTGTTTATGTGTGTATGTTCCCTTTTCTGTGTTTGTATAAAGGTAGAGGCCTTGCGACGAGCTGATCACCCGCCCCAGGAATCCTAACAAATGTCCAAGATCTAGCAAACCGAAGAGAAACAGAGGGTTTCATGGAGGTAGGGCAAGGCCCAAATTTGGGTTGTAGCGCCAAAAGAAAAAAAAAACTAGATTCAGATGACACTATCAGTTTTACAGCACGCTCCAGTTTAACAGAAGACTGTAAGGGCCCCAGTCTGCGCGTGCGAAGAAAAGCTTCCTCCTTTTGCCACCAGTGTTCTTGCAGGTAGTAGGTTGTCATTCAGCCTACAGCTCTCTCATCTCTGTCAAGATAACTGTGACTTTGCGTGAAGCGTCCTGGACAGCCGTGTGGTCACCGCGCATAGAGTGTAAAGTTCACTGGAATCAACAGTGGAGGACATGTGGTAGGATTTACAGAATCGTTCGTAACTTCGTGACAAGTTAAGGAATGTTTATTCTGGTAGAGTGCTGCTTACCGAACCTAACATGAAGTCTTTCACGTCAGCACAGATGGCAAGCAAATCATATATACCACAATACAGTCACCTACGTCAGCAAGTAAAGTAGAGAATTAGCTATGAAACATGTAGGAAAAGTTTTCCTTTTACAGCTTGAATTTCTTCTTCTCTTGTTGATTCACATGACGAAGGGAAACTTCTGCTCATGAGTAGTTTGGGTTTGAGAAACAAGTTTTATGTTAGAGGGCAAGATGAAGGATACGGAAGAAGAAAATTGCGCACCAATCCGGCTTCTGCATACACAGAAAATGCTAATTTGATACCCCCCTCCAAAAAAACTCTGCCCTTCTCCAACATTTTTCCCCTTCTCTTCAATGTAAAAATCTCGTTCTTTCCTTGTTTTCCCCAGGCTTTCTCATTTTTAGAACACTTGGTTTCACGTAGCATTTATGAAAGGCCTCGGGGGGTTTTCTTCAAAGTATTTTCGAGAAAAGTACTCAAGCTCCTCTAGCGACTCATACTGTCTCTTAGAATGTCGCATGCAATATGATATTTTGTCTTTGTTTTGTATCTTTTGTTTCTCTTCTCGACAATTTATTCTTTAAGTACATAACATAGTTCGGTACAACAGTTCTAGATACATACATATGACACCTGGCTGTAAGGTTTCATATTCATGTGTGAGACATGTTTTCTTAGGAAACTGCGTACCCAGCTAAAAAAAAACAGGCCCCATTTTACTGTGTATAGAGCTCTTTCATACCAAGTCGTTCGGGGAGTATTGCTAGAGGGAGGGGGAAAGCTCATTTCTTTTCCTTTGTCTTCTCGTTTGACCCTCCTCTTTCCTATATTTGTTTGTCTTTTATATGTTTGTGCCGCCTGCCAGGTTTTATTTGAATTCTTCTTTTGATTCTGCATAGGGCGAAAGTTGTATCGATTTGGACACAGAGACAAGTACCCCTACGAATTATACGATCTGAAAGACATCCAGACTCATTTTGCAAGTACTGAAAGCTCTCTTTATTAAAAACAAGAATTTCTGGCCCGAATTGATCTCGTGCCCTCTTTTTTGATACGACACGGACCGCATAGAAAACGAAGCCTCCAAAAATAATTTGTTGCTGTGGAAATGTTTACAGATCCATTGCCTAACAGCGAGAGGGGGATACATACACAGAAACACAGACTGATAGAGGGATATTTGAAGTAGGCCGTTGAAATGGGCTAAGCTGACATGATATACATACCAAGTTTAATAAAGCTTGCTTCAGGCATTCAGCAGCTTATGTGGGGGCAATACTTATAGAGAAACACACATAAGGAAGGTAATGATCAGTAGATACAAGCATCTGTATAATAAATAGGGTAAGGTAAAAGTAAAGTTGTTCCTGCGCTTAACTAATTAAGCACTAGGTCATGAAGGCGTATGGGGGAGTGGATGTACAGATCCACATTTTCTTGACCTCGGTACTAGTTGCAAGTGAGTGGTCAGCTTCACGATCCGGCCGCTTTACCCCCGGTACTCATTAGATAGGTGGCTGGATGGGCCCCAGACACGGTCTGGACGACGTGCAGAAGAGAAAAATTTTCACCCTATCGGGACTCGAACTCTGGAACTTCAGTCGTCCAGCCTGTAGCCAGACGCTACACTGACTACGATCACTCATTCACTCATGGAGCTCAGCCCTCTTTGAGAAGCTGCCAGTTGAGCAACTACTCAAATACTTCCCAGGATTTTATGGAACTCGAATGTTCATTATTGTGTTCACAAGAGCCCTTCACATGTCCCTATCCTGAGCCAGATCAATCCAATCCATACTATCCCATTCATCTCTCTAGGATCAATTTTAATATTGTCCACGCACCTCCATCTTTGTTTTCCCAGTGGTGTCCTTCCTTCTGGATTTCCCACCAGTATTCTATATGCATTCCTCCTCTCCTCCATTCGTGCTATATGCCCTGCCCATCTCTTCCTCATTGACTTGACCATTCTAATTATACCTCCAACCTCCTGTAACTTCATCTCTCGTCTATGTAAATTTTCTCAACATCCTGTTCTCAAACACCCTCAGTCTATATTCCTCCCTTAAAGTCAGAGACCAGGTTCCAGACCCATACAGAAGCACAGGCACACTCACTACGGTAACCCATAATAAACAGGGTTAAGAATAAGAATGATTTGATTAGATTAAGTAAGCAATGATAGGCTGACGAATGGTTTGTAAGGGATATTACAATGATATGTTATATGATTAAACTTTTACGAAGACTAAGGAAGGTCGCACACCATCTGCGTCAAGACAAGCATCAAGACATGGGACAGTCTTACTTCATTCGGGATTCGTCAGCGTCATGACTCAGACCGGTATGCGGCGGTTTTCATAATCTCATACGTTTCAACTGTGCTCCTTTCTTTGCGTCATGTCGCAGACATCGTGTTTTGACTGTTACATGTCTTGACGCATGCCAGTGTGCGGCCTATCTAAGTCTGATCTTGTATACATAGATCCATGTGTTTATATGCTCAGGAATGGAACACTAGCGCGATGTGCTATTGAAACTGCTAATATACACATCGGTGGCAGGAGACTCGCTTGTTAGAGGCAAACAGTGTGGAAAGGCTGATGCCCGCAGATGCTGCAGTTTCACGGACACTGATATCAATGCGTATGTGACTGATTAACATGATAACATTCTGTTTTGGATTGCGGAACATAAGTACGGAATTTCGAGCGGCATTGTACGAAAATACCGTCGTAATAATGCGGTGTACAACCACACATGCTTTTGGAACTCGGTTATACCCCGTAATTAACATATACTCTTTGATTTGTGAACAAATTCGATGCTGTGTTGAGGTACGCGTGAAAACACATAAAAGGGACGATTATTGACAAAATAGAAATGAAAAAAGGATTTTAGCAGGATATATAAGAGAATGGTAAAGGTAAATGTAAAGTTGTCCCTGTGCTTGATTAATTAAGCACGTCATGAACACGTATGGGGGAGTTGAGATGTAGGTCCACTTCAGTTTCTTAATCTAAGTCAAACGATAGGACTCCTTGGTCGGGGATCAGCCCGTAGTAAGGGTGCTGCTTAACACAAACACAAAATGAAAACAGACAACATGCCTTGAGTGAGATTCGAACCCAAGATGTAGGCTTCAGAACGAGCGTAGACAGTACATGCCTTACACCGTTCGGCTACCGTGACCGGCTAACCATAACTACAACTGCGTAAATAAGCAACTACAAGGTTATTCCTCACCTACGTTTATCATTTAAAATAAAACCACTTTCTTACACTAGTCTAAGTCTAGAGGTAATATGGGGGAACGTAGTAGCGTAGTTGATTGTGGCACTATGCTACAAGGCGGAAGGATACGGATTTGATTCCCGATGAGGTCACTGGAATTTTTAATTGACCTAATACTTCCATCCGCACTATGGCTCTAAGGTCGACTAAGCCTCTGACAGAAATGAGTANGGGGGGGGGGGGGGTAAAGAGCGGCTGACCGGTGCGTAAGACTGACAACTTCACCGCCATCTGTGAGCCGATTATCTAGAAAACATTGGAACCTCGACGTCTCACAACCCCGTGAGTTTCCACAGTCTGTTATAAGGTTATTTTTTCCGTTATATTCATCGATTACACATGAGTGCATTACTGGTAAAGAGCTGCCACTTTTATAAGTCAAGAGTTAGAATCAACATGAGGCTTCCAATTTCCAATTAAAGGAGGTTAAACCGCGCAGTTTTAAAGATTCGTTAATTTTAATTGCGTTGTTGGGTAGCAACAATATGAAGTAAAGATTTGCACAGTTAAGAATACATTAGAAAAGGAAGAATAACATTAATTTGTACAGTTGTAGGTAAACAAAGCTAAAGTTGTAAGCACCACCCACGCCATGAAGGCATATCAGGAGTGGAGGTATAGCTCCACAATTCTTGACCTCGGCAGCAGATAGAGGTGAGTTGTCAGCTATGTTGTATAGGGGCGGGTAAGACCGAATTATATTCAGCGCAGTTCTGTCGGGCGTTGAGCCGTGTCAATGTCGAATTAGTGTGCAGATTTTTCGGAAAATTCCTCTGTCATCGGCGGCTTATGTGACGAAATCCCTGATGATGGAAACAGGGACGGTCTCTGAAACTCCGGGCACTAATTCCGCATTGACACGGTTGATCACAAGAAAAAAATTATTTCAGCATCATGAAAGCTTCAGCACGCAATGAATAATATTACTATAAATTAAATATTTTAGATATAAAATTAATTCCGTTTTAAGGTACAATGATTTTAAAATATTGTGTAATATGAACTCATCCGGTCTCTTATAACCGTTTTTATTCATATTTAATGAGGTTCGTACGGTAAAATATCATTAAACCAGAAGTTCCAGCTGACTGACTGCTTCCATGGAGCTAAATCCATCTAGAGAAGTCAAGTGGCGCTCACTAAAAAAAAACTAAACTCCGTGACTTGAGTCCGCAAGAGAACTATATCGACCGAGCGATCGCCGCTTGTCGTCGAAGTTAATGCCAACTTTAGCGGATAGAGAATGTCGCGTGGTCAGTGCAACGAATGCCCACGGCTGTTAAGTTCGGTTTTCTAGACCGGAACCGCTATTTCCTTGAAATAGCTCCTCAGTTATCCTCACAAGGCTGAGAGAATCCCGTTCCAGACCCAGTACTTCTCAGAAAATCTGATAGCGCTTGGAATCGAAACCGGGCATTCTGGATCTCTTCCCATGAAATCTGACCACTGAACCACAGAGGCGGTCTCAAGAGGTGCTCACGCAATGAATAAATTTCCAGCATTTTATGGAACCCTTTAGTTAATAACCGTGTTCACAAGAACACCCCACTTGACCCCATCCTGGGCCAGACAGATCCGTTCCTTACACTCCACCCTATTTCTGCAATGTACATTTTGATATTCTCGCATCTACGTCTAAGTCTTCACATTGGTCTCTTTCCTTCAGGTTTCCTATGAACACTATAAGCACTCATCTTCTTGCCCAGCCAGAAACCTGTATATTTTCAAAATGTTGCTTACTTTTACATGAAAGTGATTATACACTCTTCCCAGACTGTCGGTATCGTTTGAAGTGCAATCAATGCATTGGTGCCGTGTCTTTCATTCTATGCACAGATGTTATCTCGAGAAGTTCGCGGCATCAACGCCTCCGACAGCAGATCTGATGAGCAGCACCGCAGTATCTGTTTATCGTCCCTGTGCATCAGGCCGAGGGTTGCGCTTGTACGAGACACGAAGTTTTCGATATCAGCCTACTGTACTGCTGAGATCGGGCGATAACACATTAACCGGTCACTGAAAAATGAATTGAAGCTCTGTCGGACATTGTTACTGCGTGATACATATCAGGACGTCGAAAGAAAATGAATGCATTCAGTAAATGTAAAGTTGTCCCTCTGCTTAATTAAACATCGGTCAATGAAAACGTATGGTGAAGTGGAGGTAAAAGTGACTGAATCTCGGTTCGTTAAAAGGATACAGTAAATAAAATATTCGTGAGGTTTCCTTAAACCCATCAGACAAAGGCTGTTGTACGTGTTTGGGAACGTGAGAAGAAATGAATGCATGAAATTAAAGTTATCATTCTATTTACTTTTTTGTATTGCTAGTGGGGTGGGACTAAGTCCCTTGTACTGCGGACACTTCTGGCCTACTTCTGGCCAGATGATAGGTGAGGGTGATTGTGGAGCAATTGGTGGAATGAAGATTGGCAGGGAAAACCGAAGTACTCGGAGAAAACCTGTCCCAACGCCACTTTGTCCACCACAAATCCCACTTGACCAGACCCGGGATAGAAGGCCTTCATTCTACTTAATTACAAACGTGTATGGGGAAGTGGAGGTAAAAATGAATGCGTCCCGTTTCGATAAATGGCTGCAGTAAATAAAGTTTTCGTGTTTTCTTGGACCCTTCATACAAAGGCCGTTTTAGTACTTCGAAACGTGAAAGGAAATAAGTGCATCAAATAAAAATACAGTTGTCCCAGTGCTAAATTTAACACCGATACATAAAGACGTATGGGAAAGTGGAGGCATGGCACGACGCATTTTGTTATCGGCCGCATTAAGTCTGGATTCTCCTGATAAAGATTCTTGCAGAGCGGCATGTAGCACGCAAGGAGGAAGAAAACATTCATATGACGTTGTGATCAGAGAAATGTAAGTCGTGAGACTGTTTAGATAAGGCAGATGGGAAGGCAGTATTATATTCTTAGGTTACATAATTTGAGTGTGATTTGGACTGATCTGCTTAGTCCGGGGATTTCCTGACTAACGGCTCTGTACCGTTCTAAAAAAAAAGGACTTCACCCCGGAGACTTATTTTGGTCTTACACTTATACTTGATACTATTTTCCCTCTCTACTCTTGCTCCCACTTTGGAGCATGGGACTGATTTCTCAGTTTCGTGATCATTTTACAGACGGTAGGACTCCTTGGACGGGTGATCAGCTCGTCGCAAGGCCTCTTCCTGAACACAGGACAACAGAAACATAGAATAAATATATACATATACCAAACATCCATGTCTTGTGTGGGATTCGAAACCACGATCCCGGCTTTCGAGCGAGCGAAGACAGTATATGCTTTAGACAGAACGCTACCGGGATCGGCTTTCATACTATTACTACTAATAAAATACTTCTGATTTTATATTGCCACGTATTTAGGAATGCGTGACTATAGACGGGGGAACGGATTGTCGAATGAATTTATTGACCAGTTGTAAACACCAGTCGGAACTACAAGTAGTTACAACACTATCGCTAATTTCCACACTTTACAAATCACCACAGCACCCGCTAAGGCTCTTCCAGCCAGCTGTGTCTTAACCAGCCGTTCCCTGGTAACGGCTTCTAGCAATGGAGATTCTTCAGCCTCCCGCGCTCAGGTCCTATTGTCATGGCCGCCCAAGCAGAACTTTTGTTAACTGCCAACTCAACTATAGCGCCGTCCCTTCCCATCCTCCCTTGCAGAGCTCAAGCAAACTGCCAACTCTCAACTAACTCCTTGAACAAATTCTCTCTTTTATAACTCCTCGGCGTGGACCGCGTAGGCAACACCTCGTTTCCCGCATTGAATGTGTTAACATTCTCACGGGAACGTGTTTACCGAGACTTTGCCCAAAAACGGGTCTACTATAACCTCCCATTTCACAATTATTGCGTAGCAACGGCTGTTGACTTGTCTGTTTCGAGATTTTTGCCTAGCAACGGGTCTATACGCCACAATATTATATATTCGGCCTCTGGCGTTTAGTGGCCTCACTTGCCTACATATATATCAGCCTCTGTTAGTTTAATCGGACCATCATTTCAGGAATTTCTGAACCATCTTTAAAGTTTGTCTGCATGATTTAACAGCCTCCATAAATATTTCTGTAGGTAGAATTTACCAAGATCCTATCTTATGATCACATTTTTCTTGGGAAAGTAAATCGTTCTTTCAATTAAAAATTGTATTTATTCAAAAGAAAATAATTTCAGAATAATTAAGTCTTAATACTTTAAGGGATTATAACTGTTGGTATATGAAGCAAGTTATTACCGTACAACACTCTCAAGATTACGGTACAGTAAACGAGAAGACTGGTTATGAATATTGTGTTATTTAGTACCTACCTCCCTACCTACC